CCACCACCACCTCCTCCACCAATACATTTGCCCGCCCCACCACCAATATTCGTGCCCGCTCCACCGCCACCACCTCCAATAATCTTCCGGCCACCCCCACCGCCCGAGATCATCTTCCGGCCGCCCTCACCACCACCAATAATCATTAAGCCGCCAGCACCACCTCCACTTGTTCTGCCCGCCCCACCACCACAGCCAAAGATTATCCTGACTCCACCACCAGCACCACCACCAATTACGCTTCCGGCGCCACCTCCACCACCACCGCCTCCCCCAGTCATGGTACCCCCACCTCCGCCGCCTCCTCCTCCGCCACCACCACGCGTTGTTGTGCTACCACCTCCGCCACCGCCGCCGCCACCACCACCTCCACCTCCACCTCGACCTACATGCAGCCCCGGTCTTCTTCTCAGCGGTGGCTGCCCACTTGGTTGTCCAGGCAGAACATGTGTTTAGTGATCCTGCTCTACTTTCATTCTGAGCAGAATTCCACTTTAGTTTAGTTTTTTATTTTCATCAATAAAGCTGTACTGTAATTCCTTGTAATGTGTGCGCGGAACGATTTCCTCGCATTGAAACTTGCAAAAGAGTTCGGTGGCATAATTGAATACCAGTCCAGGACTAGTGCCAACGCTAAGAGCAAAAACTACGAGAATAAAATTAGCAAGAGCTACAGTAAACAGCACCGATCATTATTGTATACCACGGTTCTCGTGCTGCTCTCTTCCCTTCTTCCTCGGTCATCACTGCTGCATTTATTACAGTGCTCATGGAGCACACCATCTTGCAAAATAATAAGCTGTTCTCCAATTTTGCTAAATATTTGAAAAATTCTAGCCTGCTCCCTACGCTTCGTCCTGTAAATAGTGACCCTTGAAAATGATGCATTCTTTCTAACTGTTGAGCGGCCATTTCTAGCTGCGTCTTTGACACAGATTCCCTGAATCTGGCTCAAGCAGAAAGTCGCATTTCACGAAAAGTCCTCATTTGCTTTTTGCAATTTGCTTCTCTCCCTCCTTATGCATTTCTTTTCAAAGAAATTCCTTCGTTCTCTGGAAGGTCTTGCTTTTTTTTTATCCCTAGGTAAGTTTCTTTGAGCTCATTCAGTTTGCGAAACTGGCAATGCTTACTTCTAATGTGCGGTCACTACCCTGGCGTCTTAATTCGGTCAATGCAATGCTGAAGCGCACGATAATACATGGAATTCATAAAGACCAGGAAACGTTGATGTCAAATTTTACGAAAAATAGTACAAAAAAGAGACTACTTCCTGAAAACAAGAAAAAGCACTTGGCCTACTTAACCGCAGGAAATCGCATCCAACCAAACGTAACAACTCGCTGACGAGAAAAGCGGTCTATAACGCTACAGCAAAAAAAAGATCGTGGATCTGCCTAATACGAACACGAAAGATCTGCACGATTACGAAATAAAAGTAGGAGCTTTGTGAAGGAGTCTTTTGTTGCTGCATTAGCTCACAACAAAAAAGATCGCGATTCTCGATGTGGGGGTTGCAAGAAGATCCAACAAACTTTAATGTTCGTCCAAACTTGTGCGATTTCCGGCGCCTATAAATTTACCAGGTTTGTCGCTCTTAATTTTTTCCGGTAAGTCACTGAAATCCAACAGTAACTGCTAACTGGATAGAAATTCCCCACTTTGAGCTTTATCCTCGCAACGTAGGAAAAGATAAAAAAAATGAAGCAAGATTTTTAATTTCCATGATCTCAGTTCTCAACTTTGTATAATACAGATGAACTTTTGCGCAAAAATGGTTGAAAGGATAAGTTTTCTTTCCTTTACTGCTGGAAGACTGGTAGTGAAGCGAATTCTTTCGCTTCACTTGGCCGAGAAATGCATGATTAAAGATTTTCGAACTGATGAAAAAATAAATTCGGTGAGCCTAACAGAAGTTACGAGAAGTCCAAGTGCAACTGTGTAGCCCAACAAGTATCAGATCTCCATGTGTGCTTGACTAATTGTCATGTTTTATTATGCGCCTTTATATATTTATTGTTCAGATGCAAGAAAGCACATTGACAAGAAGTTGTCAGTGTGTATGTATGTGTGGGTATGTGCATGTTCGGAATGTTGCTACTTATCTTCAGCTCCGGAACAGCAGAAGCTAGGAAACTGGAATTTCACAGAGGTTTTCTAGTCCAGGTTCAGTTCAGACAAATTAAACTCAACGCCCACGTTCGCCTGGGCTTCACGTACGGGCTTCCAAAAGATATGCAGATTTTCTGGCGAGGAAGTGATTTCAAGAGCTGGACGAGATGGAAAATTGAAACTTCACCTGAATATTATTGTACCTTTTTGTGAGCTAAACACTCATATTCAACATCAACGCACGCCCAAATCACGTGCAGAAACAGGTGAAACTAGCAAGGTGTATTCGTTGACAAAATACAGACTCTTCAGTTAAATCTATTTTTTGAGAACATTTGTTGT